GCCATAGATAGGCCTAAATAAAATGTTTTTAATTGTGTACCAGCTTAACGTTGAATATTATTTATGATTTTAACTTTATACACAAGTGCCAAAATACTATAATTACCCTGTGTCAGTTTTCAGCACTAACGAAAAATAACTTCCAAAACTACTCTCTGTCACTCTATCTATCACTGTCGCTTAGGTAACGAGAGCCTCGTTGGTAATAAATGTCTGTATTTTAGAAACTAACAACTTTCAAGAGAATAACAACGAAAGTCCTAAAGCTAGAGGTTGTTGACCTTACTTACCCTAGAACGTTTCACTGAAATACCTAAACAGACCTTAGATAAAACTACGCCAGTTTTGCGAAGCGACAAAGCTTTGGCTGTGATCTCATACATGTATATAATTTCTTTTCCCGCATTTGTCATACATAGTTGAAAGATTTAGACATTTTCAACAATAAGGCTAGAAAAAACTATCTTTACTCAAAAGATAAGTTTTGAAAAAGTTTCGCCGATTTGTCTTCATCCGATCCTGATGGCGGAACAGAGATCGAAATGAAAAAAAAAAAAGTTAAATTATCTGGAGATTAAAGATCGTTTTTTCCCCCCTAATTTTTGTCATTTTAACTGAGTGGGTTTTTGGTTTTCTTATAAGAGAAACAGCAAAGTCTTGGTAGTTCTTACATGGACCAGTTTATTATCATTGTTCATTCTCTTATATTTTCCGTTATATTCTGTACAACTTAAAGATCAAACTTTCCGTGAACTTAAAGTGGGACACTCTTTATTGGCAAGTGGTTTCTATGAACTGTACCCATTACACTTTTTACTGTTCTGTTATATAACTTCGTTCTGCTGTCTGCGTTCAGTGTTTTGTTTGACGGTTTATTTTACTATCTGTAGTAAGATAATGTTCATATACAATTTGCTCCAGTTACGAGACTAGATAGATCTGTTAAAAATATAATTTCCTGCTTCAACTTTCCTTGTTTTTAAACTTCGCGCAAAACTACACAATATCTAGCTGCACACTTCAGTGTCCTTAATTTTATACAGATAGACTTGTATGGAAAGCCGCTAGTCTTTCTCTTGGGCTACTCTTGTCTGATGTAACAGTGAGATTTGACTGCCAGGTTTACAGTTACGGCTCTAAACCGCGGATAACTTTTTTGCAACAACAGGACTCGAACCACGAATCTTCGAATTTACATAGACACTCGCCTTTTCGTGATATTATATGCAACAAGCAAGCTTATAACAAATTTGGTAGATCTACAAAACCTTAAATAAACTGATAGGATTTAATTGGTGAGAACAAATATGTATCTTTGATGAAGATATAACTATCTAATCCAAAATTATTTTCAACTCAGGACATGATGGTGGGTAAAACAAAATACACGGCCTAACTAACTAATGAATGAACATTTGCTATAAAATTCTTATCAATGCTATAAGTTTAGTTATTAGTTTAGTCGCCAGTTTTGATTTCATTTCTTTAAGTCGCATGCTCAATCTTTTTTTGGCTGCACCTTTTTTTTTCACACCTAGGGTGTTTTTGATTATATATCATGAGTTTTTGTCACCAACAAACCACAGCAAGTAAGAAAGTATCACTCGATAGTAACTAACATTAGCTTTAGGATCGCAACCTTATTATTTGGAACAGACTTATACTTTACAGAATCAATCGGATTCTTTAAAATATATAATGGTTAATTTTCCTCTCTAAAACAATGTTAATAGCTTCCTTTATAGTAACGCCATGGAATTTAGATTAACAGTGTCTTGTCATCACCCCCATGTAATTGTTACAGCCGTATCAAGCATCATTATTTATGCTAATTGCTTAAGCTAATATCATGTGATGCTAAATGCTCTTTAATTAGGCTAATTTCATAGAATTTAACAAATTTGTGGTTAATGAATAATCAATAATAACTGTCCACCCGTATGATTTTTTTGAAAACTTGAGATAGAAACTACTAATTCAGTTTGCTTGGTCTAACCAATACTTATGTATTTGCATGTGCTTTCATCCTATATTTTTACGGCTCTAAATCTTTAATCCGAATGACAAAAAATTAAAATTGGTCCACTTTTACTCATAGGTGAAACTGTAAGAAAATTTTCAGATCGATAGCTCACGTGGTTTTTACTCAAATATTTTGGTCAAAATTGAGCGGTTTTTGTTGAATAACTTTGCACATGTGATTTATATTTAAACCAGATTTGACAACTAATTGTAGGTTGTAAAGATCTCTCAGTGAACCAAATTTTAAAAATATCCATAAAAGTCAAGTATATTTTTCTATCAAAGAAAGTTTCCTTACTTTCGGTGCGAAGAAGAACAAGAAAGAAATGTAATCAAAATTTGAGATTTTATATCTCGTGTATTTATCATTGGATTTCCTTGAAATTTAGTACGCGACATAAGGGTCCTATTGAGCAGATCCACTGAAAATATATGATAGTTTGGATTAACATAGTCCGAGCTATAGAAAGTGGAAAACTGCTCAACTGTCAGTACGCGACATAAGGGTCCTATTGAGCAGATCCACTGAAAATATATGATAGTTTGGATTAACATAGTCCGAGCTATAGAAAGTGGAAAACTGCTCAACTGTCAATACGCGACATAAGGGTCCTATTGAGCAGATCCACTGAAAATATATGATAGTTTGGATTAACATAGTCCGAGCTATAGAAAGTGGAAAATTGCTCAACTGTCACCACTGGAAATTGTTTTGGCCGCACGACACACAACCGTGTGTCTTGATTTAAGGAAACAAAAAGCTTTACAAGATAAATTACTAGAGAACTGTTAAAACATGTGTCACAGACTTTTTAAACACTGAGCAACAGTTAAAACATGTGTCACAAGGCTTTTTAAACACTGTGCAATAGTTAAAACATGTGTCACAAGGCTTTTTAAACACTGAGCAACAGTTAAAACATGTATCACAAGGCTTTTTAAACACTGAGCAACAGTTAAAACATGAGTCACAAGTCTTTTTAAACACTGAGCAACAGTTAAAACATGTGTCACAAGGCTTTTTAAACACTGAGCAACAGTTAAAACACGTGTCACAAGGCTTTTTAAATACTGAGCAACAGTTAAAACATGTGTCACAGGCTTTTTAAACACTGAGCAACAGTTAAAGCATGTGTCACAAGGCTTTTTAAACACTGAGCAACAGTTAAAACATGAGTCACAAGTCTTTTTAAACACTGAGCAACAGTTAAAACATGTGTCACAGGCTTTTTAAACATTGAGCAACAGTTAAAGCATGTGTCACAAGGCTTTTTAAACACTGAGCAACATACATAGTGTCTAAATCGCACTAAACCAATCACGATTCTGCTAAAAAAAATCGGAATTAATATACTGTAAATATATTAATTCACTGCTTATGACTGAGGCTGCTTTTACTAGCGGAAAAGTCTAGTTACTTGTAAAAGTTTAGTATCAAAAGGTTACAAGGTGGAGTGTTTGGTTTCAAGTCACCTAAAACAACAGAACAAGTCCAGTATTACACATTCTATATCCTAAAATCATGTAACAATCCCATTGTTACAATACATTTTACATCATAAGATAGCGAAACAAGCCCATTGTTACAATACATTTTACATCATAAGATAGCGAAACAAGCCCATTGTTACAATACATTTTAAATCCTAAGACAGCGAAACAAGCCCATTGGTTACAATACATTTTACA